AGTTCATTTTGTGTGATTTCATATTCATGAAAGACAATTAAAATACTAGTTAAATCTGTAAAATATTAACTCTTATAAAAGGAGAATTGACTATTTCTAAACTAAAATAAAAGTTGCTTATCCTAGTCTAGACAATGCACAGTCCCTTCCTTTACTATTGTATATAATTTTCTACAGGTTCTTCCTCGACAAACCTGTGGTCTTTTTACTCATACAATTTTCTACAAGGAGTATCCTGGTGGTCCAAAAGAACTAAACAAAAGTATACAGGGCGGGGAATTATTTTTCACAGTAGTTCTCAATCCAGTAAGTACTTTAAATTATTTGAACAAAGATAATTGCTGACCATATCCTTAAAAATATTGACTAATGACATTGTTTTACTCTTTTTCTTAAGTCATATTGATGATGTATTCACTAATATTTGTAAATGTTATACAAAATGTTATACAATAATCTTGAACTAATTTCCATAATTCCTTGAGTTTATTTGATAATTATCCTTATTTTTGTTAGCTAATGATGTCAGGACTTGCTTTTGAAACAATAGACATGATTGAAATGACATTAAATGGTCTCAGGAAAATCTACCATCACTTTTCTACAAACTCCAGATTATAAATGAATTATTTTAATGGCATAGAATAATGAGTATCAAATAAATAAACTACAAAATAAAGAGTTGCTGTTTTGTCACTCATACTCTGAATTTCTTTCCTACTTTATCTGGAGTTATAAGGCTTAGAGTAGAATGAGTGTGTGTGACAGATACTCAAACTGGTTTAAATCAATATGTAAGCAAGTTTTTTTACAAATAGTGTCTGTTTGCACAACACATTTAGCAGGATGAAGGAAAAACCATTCTACTTGGCAACACTTCATCCTATTTCTCACACTGTTCTGCAGGGTTTTGAAATTGTATGGAGCAGATCTTAGGCTCCATTTGCAAGGGAAGGTCAAATGGCCTGAACTAGGTTTGCTTATTCGTTTGTTTGTTTGTTTTATACCCTACTTTCATTCAAGACCTTAAGGGAGAACACATAGCATTGATCCTCCCATTTTCTTCACAGCAACAACCCTATGAGGTGAACTGGGCTAAGAGAAAGCAGCAAAGATTGGACAGATTTTCCTCCAAATGTGGCTTAATGGAAATTTCATTATTTAACTCCTTTGGTAGAGATAATTTTTTTTTCTGTATTTTAACACTATCCTAACAGTAGCATTTGTTTCCAAAACTTGAGTTAAACTATGTTAAACTTGTTGAACATGTTGAAATATGGATACTAATGAATTTATTAGAAATGTTCTTGTAATTTGAAACTGGCAAACTAGTAAACATTGTTCCATTGGTTTCTTTTTATTAAAACAACAGGCTACAAGTTAATATAACATCAAAATTATTTTAGTGCTATTTGTGTTAAGTAAACAACCTGGAATAATTGTTCATGCATTCAAGTCAACATTAGCATGTCTCTTTGGCTGTGCGTTCAGTGTTTATATAGTATTACTGGACTGTAATAAAATATCCTTTTCATGTCTAAAACTATATTTCTACAGGTTTCACTACAATTAAAAGTCTACATAATCAGGAATTCAGGTTAAACTAAAACCTTTAGGTGTTTCCAGTTTTCAGCATTCTAACAACTGCATGGATTCTGAGGCCATGGCCAGGAAGCATTCTGGTGTCAAGAATGTGGCTAATTGCACAATCCTACTCCATGGTCACTGACTATGCTCTACTTTAAAGAAGGCTTAATGCAAGTGAGAATCCAATTCAGGCAAGCAGGCAGGGAGTAATGTGGTTCCCTTTTTCAACCCCCATCACTACCAGATTTCCCACATTTTACAAATGATTAATATGTAAGTTTGTAGGAACAAGTCAAACATTTGGAAGTATTAGTAACTTTTGTAGGTAGTATTTTCCAGTCTGAATGTATCCAAATTATGATCTGAAAAGAACTGAACAAAATCATTTTTTTAATGTTTGTACTACATAAAACAATTATGTTGTTACTCACCTTCTATATTTTAAGAGTAAATGTGTTAGAGGTATTTCTAGGGGGAAAAATGAAGCCTAATTTTGGGCGCACAGTATTGTATGGAAATTGATAATGAACTTAATATCTGTACCATTAGGACAAAAGTGGCATTCAAGATACAATAATATCATCAAAAGATATGTCAAGTTTCTTGCTTTTTTCAGTATATCCAAAAAGTATAAAATACACATTACCATTTGTGAACATTTGAACATTTCAGTTTTTCTCAAGTATTATAATCTTCCACATTATTCAGGCTAAGGAATCTAAGACCTACTGAGAAAGCCAGTCTTTGCTAACTCTATTTACCGGAAATAGAAGAGTTTTTGTGCTAAAATAGTTCATCTAGCAAACTCCTAATATGTGCACATTTATGTGGAATTGGTTTATGCTCCCCATATTGCTGGCTGATAGCAGCTATAAAATTATTCTGGCAGCAAAGACCATTGTGTTCATAAAGCATGCAGGCTGTTTAAATTCCATCAGACTGTATAAAGGGCATTGGGAGCTCATAACGCATCCACTTTTAAAACTAGCTACCTCTATGAAAGTTGCTGCAGAGGACCAGATTCACAGCAGGGCATTTTGAAGCTTGTTGGGTAGATCATCCCTGAGAAGTAATCAATGCCAGGGGCCACGTTAAGTGGAAGAAAGAATAGCTTTCCCATAACTGATGCTTCTTAAAGAGGGACCGTGTTAAAAAACAAATGTAGGTTTCTTCCATCTTTGGGGGAAATTTTCAAAATTAGTTTCTTTAGAGCCGGGGAGTTGCTGTTCTTTAAAGTCTTCGGCCTTCATCTATGGATTTGTTAACTGCAGGCTTTGCTGTTGAATCTTCTATTTCTCTAGTCATTGTCTATAGCAGAGTTCCTCAACCTCAGCAACTTGGCTGGCTGGGGAATTCTGGGAGTTGAAGTCCACCCATCTTAAAGTTGCTGAGGTTGAGGAACCCTGGTCTATAGTAATGCTTTATTATTTGTTGTTGTTTTCCTAGTATCATTTGTCCTGAACCCCTTGTATCACTAGGTATTCTTGTTTGGAAAGGAAGTCGGATGGTTCCTAACATCTTTTCTTCAGAGTGCATTCTGTTTTTTCTATCATTTATCCCAACATACACATCATTTGATATATACGCATTCTTAAACTTGGGAGTCTGAGTAATTAACACTACCTATTTTGGACATGACAGTAAAGTTGGTCACCTCAGTTGACAATTTATTTCATATCTTATTACTTCAAGACGTGCTGACTACTATTGTGGCATTTCTTTTCAAGTAATTTTGGCAGCACTCTGGCTGACTTCTGACAAGTCTTCCTTGAGGATCTATAGCTAGAATTCTGCAGCTTTAAACATTTGTCCTCCGTTTTTATTGCTTTCTTCCTTGGGCCATTCCATTTCTAGAATGTAAGGAATTTAAAAGTGTGAATCTTCAGCACAGGAGAATGGTTGCTATAATAATTTCACTACATTTATTAGAAATGACATAAATTACATGGGTCATTGTGTATTTTGTTGCTCCAGCAATATTAGAAGGTTTCTGTGTATAGTTTTCTAATGACATTAAAGAACAAGTCTCCAAGGAGGTGAACAGCCAATGGACAATGCCTAGTTTAGGGAATTTGCATCCAGTGGAGAACTGGAATCTTCAGCTTGCTGATTCCAAAAGTTTGCTGCACAAATAGTCCATAGTAAATATCTCCCTCTGAACCCATAAGCAAAGGAATATATTTTTAAAAGAATGATGCAAAACAGTTATGATTTCACAGTGTGAAGATCATTTCAGTAAAGCAAGTGTTTCAACTTAATTACAAACATTAAATTATCTGAAAAATAAAATGCAAGATCCAGACAGTTAGTGTTTCATTTTGTTAAACCTGATTTTTATAGGCTATTGTTGAATGCTGGATATTAAGAATTTGGATTTTGTGATAAATATATAATATATAACATTATATAAATATATAATGACATACTTAGTTCTGTCAGTGCCTTAATTTTAATTCTCAAGAAAACTGGGATGGAAATTTGAAATAAAGTTAATAATAACATATTCACAATTGCTGCTGATGTTGATAACATTTTTTTTCCTGTTAGATCCCAATGAATGTATGGGTGGGTATTTATGCATCCATGTACCCATACTGTTTTTACTTTCTTTCTGCTTTCTGGACATGGCTGGTTCCACTGGCCTCTACTCAAAATAGCAAGCAGTCAAATATAATTGTTGCTAGACCATTCCCCCAGCTATGGCAAATTCTGAACAATAATTTGGTCCTGCAAAACAGTTTACATGCCTTAATCTCAATAGTAATTCATCAGGATATCCTAACTCAAGACACCACAGATCTATTGCCTTTGGAATCTTTTGCTGTGTATTTTGTATGTAGGAACTGAAAAAAGATGTCATCATTTATCATGCCTGGATTTTACCTGTGGTCTTATAACAGTTGGAAAAACTACTGTAATGAAAGGATTTGGGATGCCTTTCTGTACTGCATACAAATGCTAGTAGAACGCATCAGAATGTCTGAATACCAGTGGTCGAATCAACAGTCAGATAACCAGTTTCAAACCAAACTATGCCCATGAAAAACCTTTATTGCAGCCTGTATCAGTCTGGTGTCTCCAGATTAGCTGGACTTCAGCATCTCAATTTACAGACCAGCAGGATTTAAAATATCTGGAGGGTACCAGATAGGAAAAATTTTTTTAATGCATCCCTGCTTACTTCAGGAAGCTAGTTCACAGCTCATTCATAAGGGCTGAGCCTGGCAAAGCTGTAACCAATGAATTCCAGGCTAGTGATGGCTTTTATGTAAACAAATCACAACCACCCAGGGCCCCTAAGGGACACGTTAAGTATTGGTTAATTTGAGAAGGTAGGAAGAAGCCTTGGAAAAATATAAACTTCCCTGACATATTTACACTGCAGTGGACAATCAGCTCTTTTGGATGATGCTCCATTTTTGTTTCATAAAGATTTTTGTCTCTGTGAGTTTTCTGCCAAGTCAAACAGAAAAGTTGAATTACAGCTTAAGTGCCTGGAGATTAATGATTTACTGCCAAGCTTGGGTGTGAAGTCTATAGCAAGGTATCTTGGGATAACATGCAGGAAATCTTTTCAGACTTTTACTGGGCATCTGTTCCATTAAATTTTGATTTATAAATTACTACAATTGGAACCTCTAAAGAGTGCAATGCTTTTCTGAAGTTTGTGTATTAGATCCATGAGTGAATTTTTTAGACGGGTTTATTTGGAACTCAGT